CAATTTTGAGCCCAAAAGGAAATAACGTGCAATCGCGATCACTAAACAAATAGTTGTAATTGTGGCACTATTATTTGACTGTCAGCGGGTGGTGGCTACTGTGCCCGACACTTTGCTTCTGTCGAGTGGACTAGTCTTTGGGTCATGCCAAGGTCCTCTTCTCCCCTTTCTGCTTGAATACAAGCATTCAGCCATGCCTAATGCTCTCCACTGTCGAATGGGAAGCCTCAGCACGCCTTTGACACACGGATTTTGTAGGAGAAATTCTGACACGAAACTTTTCCAGATGGTTCATGGCGGTGTCGCTTCAGTTGTTAATAGCTTGTTTGTGGAACACGGAAGTAAGGTGAAGCCAAATGCACACGTCGGTCTCGACCCTTTCGTTGTGAAGGATTCAGAGAGCTTCCGCCACCGATGCAAATGCGTCTCTTCCACACCGTAAGTACATGCAACAAACGGTACTTCCAGAATAGAGGTCAATGAAAAAAATGTCGGATTCGCTTTCCGCTGCCACCAGTGTAGGGTCCCGAGATCTCGCATAGGGTGGAAGAAGGTAGTAAATGAGGTTGAACACGTGTATTCCGAAGAGGTCAGAGCGTGGCCCGAAAGCCAGCCCACGAGTACAAGGGCTAGACCAATCTTAAAGTGACCACCGAACGTCAAGTAGTCACATGAACAAAGCATTACCCTGCTGCAGTGTGAATGAAATACATATGCCTCAAGAGATAGAATCCCTCAATTCTCTCCATAGAAAGTGATTAGTACGACGTCTGAGCTTGGCGAATACTAGATTCTCGTGGTTCACAAGCAAACTGTTAACAACTGAAGAGACACCACCGTGACCATCTAGGGAGGTTCTACTCAAAGTCCTTTCTACCATACCCGTGCATAGATAGCGACAATAAAACTCCTCGTATTACCGCCCCAAACACACATTTGAGACCAATGTCCCAGGATAATTACAATTAACCACCAGATTTCCCATATCTGAGCTGCCATCAGACCGAACCAAACTCCAAATCCAACTAAAGTTGCTGGAGCGGATAGCTCGTAGGTGCTTTCTAAGGTCACCAAATATACTTTGGTGACCGATGCATAAGGCGTATCGCAAAGATCGCTGCAGACGTCACTCATAAGAAGAGACAATGCCGTGCTACGCTTATTAAAATGGTTTCATGAGC